TTCCACTCTGGTTATGTCGACCTTATTGTCACCGGCTTCGTCGGTATTCGTCCCCGCGAGGATGACGTGCTTGAGGTCAACCCCCTGGCTGACCCCTCCTCCATCTCTTACTTCCGCGCGGAGCGCATTCTCTACCACGGCCGGGAAGTTGCCGTCCAATGGGACGCCACTGGCGAGCGCTATGGCGAAGCAGGTCTCCGAGTTGAAGTAGATGGAAAGGTCATCGCTTCTTCCGACAAGCTCGAGAGGCTCACTGCCGAGGTCACACGTGCGCCCGTCTCCGTCGCGCGTCCCTTTGACCAAGCCGTCCAGCTTCAGGCCACCGAGCCCCTGCCCATCATCAACGCTTCCGTTCCCAACTATGATATCAACCGTGTTCACGATGTGTTCGACGGTCGCATCTGGTTCTGGACCCAGGATACCATCGCCAACGGCTTCGATACTCCCGAGGGCAGCACCGCCGAGGAGTGGGTCAGCATCGAGTTCGGATCCGCTGTTGAGGCTGCTCGTGCTGAGATCGCTTTCTTCGCGAATGAAGAGAAAGGATTTGATGTCCCCGCCAGCTACAAGTTGCAGGTTCTGAGCGGCGAATGGACTGATGTGGCTGATGCCACTTACGACGCGCCGTTGGCAAACGGTATCACAAACGCGAAGTGGACTGGAGTGTCCACCCAATCTCTCCGCATTCTCGTGAAGCCGCAAGATGGCAAGCGTGTCCGTCTAGTTGAGCTGAAGGTCTTCGCTGAGTAAAAACATTGTACGTCATTGAAATTTACAAAGGAAAGGCTCAAGGGGCAAATAAAAGTAGATATTTGGATGGAAGGCCAGTACATGTTCTTAATTCTAGCATATAATAATTGAAGACGGCATAATGATGCAAGCGCTTTGCCATTGGTAACTCCCGAATCTTCCAGGTAAATGGCAATATACTTAGATACTTTTGACAATGGATCATTAGGTACTCATAGAATTGCAAGACCCAGCAGCAAGTTCAGCTCCTCGAGCTTTCTGATACGGGCCTTGGAACATCCCTTGTCCAAAAAAAAAAAAAAAAAAAATGTGTGGCTCGAGAGCGAGTCGCCCTCTCCATGGAAGTCATTGGGAGCCCCGCTTGTGAACGTCAAATCTGGGGTATAAGGAGTCCTTTAAGCAACCGATTGTCAACCCTATCATTCGCTGCGCCAACATTGGAGTTTGCGGGACCCATATCCGCGAACATGAAACTTCAGCCGAACTATAAAAAGGCCGCCAGATGGATCCGACTGGCGAACGACACTTATCGCATTAATATCTGTAGGGCTCTGCCTCTTTCGACCGAGTCAGCCAACCTTCGGTCTGCTCCGAGTTCGTCGGCATCCCGCCTGGAAGGCCGCCTATGATAGAAAGATTGATTAGCTTTGGTACTGATTGACAATTCTTACTTAAACTTCACTGGTCCCAATTCAAAGCTTGATTGTGTCCAGTACTTCACCTTCTCGCGTAATTGCTTCCAGCTTCTCCTTCCGAAAAGAGCACGTTTGGTTCAGCAACTAAACCTTCAAGCCAAACCACTTTCAAATAATCATGAAGACAACATCCCTCTTTCTCCTTGCCACCCTCGTCCCGAGCGGTTTTGCTCTGAGCATCCCTTCCAGACTGTCATCGAGTCTCGACAGTCGGGCGGGAGTACACAACGCCGTTGCGCCAGAAGATATACTCAACCCCGTTGTTCGACCACGAGAGTGCGAGGAGCCAGCTGAGCCTGAAGAGCCGAGCGAGGCGGATAGGAAGAAGGGCGCCAAGAGACCAGCGAGGCCTTCGCGACCTACAAAATGCTGAGATCTGCTCTGGCACATTAAGTTCATCAAGACCAGGATCAAACCTAGATCATCAAGGGTTGATTACGAGTCGCCGGTCATCACCACTCACATCTAATTGTAATGAGTGGCTTTTCTCTTCCAGAACTACTTCTCTCAATACCTCACGTCGAATTTTTTCATTTCCGAGCATCGAATAGTAACGTTCATTTATCGACTATGCGCTTTATTTTTGGTGAATTCATCGGTGGGCTAGTGCTTCTATTCTTTCTTTTTTTTTTTTTGTTTTTTTTTTTCAAATAGAAAAGCATACACAGTCAAATACAGGTGCTCACTGAATGAAAGATCCTGCCCTCTCCATCCTCTTAAAGTGCCAAGTGAGTGCCTTCTTCAACACCTGGAGTATGTCTCAACCCGCCAAGCCACCAAAGCGCACCTTGTTGTTTAGTACAGGCAAAATATGCAGGTGATGGGAGGTTACACCAATAGGGTGCTTGACTGTGATCTCATCCGCTCACGCCACAATCCTCCGGTCCAACTGTGCAGCCAACCCGTGTAACTCGCCGATCACGCCTCTTTTACCGCCACACTTGGGACACATAAGGCCTAGGTTCTGCCCCGCAGACCATCCTTCCGATTGATTCCTCAATTGCCTCGGCCAGCGTCTCAGCATTCAACGTTACCCTCTGCCTCACCGCAATCATCCGCGATCAGTCGTCAAGTTCACAACGATTCTAAACACGACGGAGAACAGTCTGACATGGAGAGCAACGTGAATTCCAAGATGGAGTCCATCTCATCGCAGATGGACACGGAGGGGAAAAGCCGGGAAGAAATGATAGCCGAGTCCGTCAAAAAGAACGAAGACGTCCAAAATCTTTATCCTCAAGTTGATTTTAAGGGGGCAGTTCTAGAGCCCACCATTCATTTGACTTATGATATTCAGGTATTGCGTCGAGGTCCACTGGGACCCTGCATCCAGTTCCATTCTAAACCCGACGGTGGCTTCCACTGGCAGCTGTCTTTTCAATCTTGGCCTGATCCTGACTGAGGTGATTATAGGAACACGTCGACGAACCGAATCAAAGAAGGTACAATACATTGATCGCGGAGATGCTGGATCGCACCTCAGAACCAGATCTAGCCGAGAGACTACTATGGGAGGCAAGGGAGTGTCTCACTGGGTACCCCAAAATCTTGGCCCAATTTGATGCGATATTTCTCGGCCAGCGATCTGCTTCAAGCGTGATAAGGGAATTGCATGAGTGCATGATGATCAAGAGGACAGTAGAGAGGAGAATGAGCCAGCAGGTGGACGACGCGTAAAACGAAGAAACTACCCAACAATGCTTTATGTAAGGCGTGGGTAAGTCTTCAATCACATTACCACACAGTGTTTGCCAATACCGGTAGAAGATTCAGCTAACCAGTGACATTCCATCAGCCTCAAAGTCTCTTTGAGGAATGAAAGAGCATTCCTGAATACTAGTGCTCGAATGGTCCACGCAAAATTCCAATTTTCACAATGCGTCCATATACACTGTTAACAATTCAGGTCAGAGATGCCCAGCACAGAAATCTCAGGATGACACGACCTGTGGAGCAACTGGTTCTAAAAGGACTGGGAGTGGAAGTCGGTCTGGATGTTGTTCCAAGTAAGGCAGATCCAAGACTTTAACAAAGGTGGCCGGACTTCTCCGTACAGGCGTAACAACGAGAAATACCGTTTTATGGATAAGAAACTCATCGGAACACCGACCTAATTATTACTGGGTAACGCAGCTAAATCTCCTTGGCTGCCTTATTTAGGAACCCAACTACTCGGCTTTCTCTAAGAATAGTACTACAAACAAGTTACATTGGTCATGCATCTACTCGGCATTTCTGATAGGCAGGGACCAACACTCAGCTCATTTTTATCATTAGACTCTCCGACATTTGACTAGCTACGGCAAGTACTTGCATCACTCAGCACTGGAGAAAGCGGCACACGGAGTAAGTGTACTTCCGCCGATAGCGACAGAAGTCGCAATCGGAGTGTTGGCATTTCCAGGAAAACCCACCGTACTTCTTGGCTGAGAGCCTGAGATAGGTTTCTACTCACGTTTGGCGGAACTCGTCACAATTTCTTGGCCTTCGTAAAAAACAGCGGGACTCGGCATTGTTTCTCTTGGCAACATTTTCCAAATACGCGCTCTCCTGCCGAACGATCACCGCGCCCCCGAACTTGGCGGAATACTTGGCGGTTTGAAATACCACTATCGAAACTCAAGCCTCCCGTCTTCTCGCCTCTGCCCCTGATCATCCTGTCTTCGTCCGTTGACGATACTTTGCTGGGTCCAGTCTCTAAGTAGTCCTTTACTCAGTAGCTTCTCATTGACTCATGCCTACATGTTCAATTGTCCAAGAGGGTTTAAGTGAATTAGTATGAATCTTTGATGTCACCGGAACCTTCGAAAATTTTCCAAGCACCAAAGTAGTCCTCACCCTTCCAAGTAGCTTGCTAACCCAGCTCGCTTTCTCGCCTGTTGTCTCGAGCTCACGGAATCGACAGACCTCGACAAGTAAAGATTTCTGCATACCTATCACTCAGGCGACCCGCCTTAAGGAAATTCGTTTTGAATAATGAAATCTCTGATCAGAATTACTATTTTGAGAGATCTCGAGTGTGCAGCCGCCAATGAAGGCCTTCGTGGCGTCGATTTCTCGCTCACAAGCCGTCTCACCGGGGCTGGGCATTGCGCCTGGTATTGGTCTTCACCTACTCGAGGCATGATCGGCCGCACTCGACACAGTACCAGCCAGTCTGTGTAGTACTTGACCAAGCCCTCTCAGTCCGTCCATGCCTCGAGCGAAGATTGCCCGTTCTGGTTGTATCGGGTTGATGTGGGCAACGAGTCCGACAGGGTGGGTGATCCACGACCGATACCACTTTGTCCTGCCCCTGAGACCATGTCTCGGCCATCAGAGCTGAAGAAAATCCCAATCTTTGGGAGCAACTTAAACACCCACATAGGGCCACTTGGCTGATTTAACACCACCTGCTTCTTTTTCGTCTCGATTTCTTCTTCTTATTTTCGGTCTCATCTCTCTTTTTTCTCGTTCTGATTTACTGCGCATTTCCGAACACAACATCAGCCGTCCTATCTTGCTGGCCAAGATACACCACTGCATTCGGGTTCATTCCAGAAAACTCACGTCAGAATGCCGACTCTCGACGTTAGCGAGCTGAACATCGTTCTCGGTGTACTTGGTAAAATTCAACAATCATCGGCCATGACACGCTCATTCTTGTTTCTAACCTCTAATAGGCCTTTACATCCTGGCCTATGGCATCATCTCGGTCAAGATCAAGAGCAAATGGTATCTCGGCGAGGCTTGTAGGTCTTTCTTCATCACGCTTTGGCATTCCATTGTGAGAGGAATCGAGACTGATTCCATCAAGTGCCTGCTGTCGCCATAGGAATTTGTCTCGGTCCCTTAGCAGCCAAGTTTATCGATAGCGACCGATGGGGTTCCGCATCCGAAGGGCAGACCAATGCTATTACTCTAGTATGCGACCTCTTTTTCACCTTTCCAACGATTCATTTCCGGCCGTTGACCGATGACTGACGAGAAACGTGTAGGGACTTGCTCGTGTCATGATTGGCGTTCAGCTAGTGATTGCAGGCTATCAACTCCCCGCCAAGTATCAACAAAAACGCTGGATGGACATGGCCCTGTGCCTGCTTCCCATCATGACCATCATGTGGCTCTGCACCACCCTCTGTATGCTCGCCACGGTACCAAAGGTCACCTTACTAGCTGCCCTCGTCATCGCCTCTTGCGTCACCTGCACCGACCCGATCCTATCACAAGCCATCGCCAAGGGCCCGTTCGCAGACAAGTTTGTGGCCCGAGACCTACGTGAGATTATATCCTCGGAAGCAGGGGCGAACGATGGCTTCGGATTCCCGTTTCTTATGCTCGCTGTCTATCTAATTCGCCATGCCGATATCCCTGGGGCCGGCAAGGGAAACGAGACCAATGCGTCAGTGGTCGAAAGGGCAGTCCAACTTTTCGCTCGCCAAGAAGAGGGAGTCGGACGTCTTGGAGGCGGAGTTGGTGTTGCTCTGACCAATTGGGCCGTGGAGACTTGGCTGTACATCGTACTGATGTCGGTGGCCATTGGCGCTCTCGTCGGCTTCGGGTCTGGAAAGGCTCTGAAGTTTGCCTTGCGGAAGAAGTGGATCGATTCCGAGAGCTACCTGCTTTACCCCACTGCAATTGGAGTATGTTATATCCTCTTTAACTCCAGTTTTATTATACTAATCATCTTCCTATAGTTGTGGCTCGTTGGCATCTGCGGCATGCTCGGCACCGATGACCTTCTGGCATGTTTCGTGGCTGGCAACGCCATGAACTGGGACGGCGACTACCTGGCTGAAACCGAAAAGCGCCACGACGAGGTTAACTCTTCGGTCGATGTCTTGCTCAACTTTGGAGGATTCATGTACATCGGCTCCATCATGCCTTGGGATCAATTCAACCAACCCGATACCACAGGACTGACTTGGGGTCGTCTATTCGCGCTAGGCGCGCTAGTCATCGCATTCCGTCGTATCCCAGCCATCTTCATGTGCTACAAGGCCATGCCTAAGGTATGCAAAAGCTGGAAAGAGGCCCTCTTCATGGGTTACTTTGGCCCCATCGGCGCGGGGGCGGTCTTTTACGTCGAACATACACGCCATCTCTTCCCGGAGCTTGGTCACGGTGATACGGAAGAAACGGATCTCGTTCGAGTCATGGTGCCGGTCGTATATTGGCTGGTGTTGTTCTCTATCGTGGTACACGGCCTGTCGATTCCCGCCTTGAATCTGATCTACAAGTACGCCAGCGTCAAGCCTATACAGGAGGATGCCGTCGAGCTGCGTCGAGCATCCATCTATGTACCAACCCCCAACAACGCTCTCGTCGGTAACCGAGATACCTTCATTGCTTATAACCGCTTCTCTCGGCCTGTTTTCAATACAGCCGAGCTACCCTACATGGGAAAAGACTCAAGGACATACAGTGATGCGAAGTCACTCGATGACTAAGGAGACGACTTAGATGTATAGTTGATGGGGGATGAGTTCGGACATTTGCCGGAACTGAGGCGTGCTTGAAACCCGGTCTCGGATTTGTATGCCTACCTCATGTTACAAAGTCATCATCGTGCTCCAAGTCGGGTCAACGCATTCTGAAAATGGGATACATTTTTTGAGTCAATTCAACAAAAAGAGCAACGCATTTCAAGCCCCGCGAATCAACATGCAATTCATAGAACTAAACTGTCTTTTCATATAGATGTCAATACGAGTTGCGAAGAAACACACGTTAAAAGTCGTATGTGTTATCAAAGGCCAATTTTAGCTTATTGCAGCATCGCAAATAGGTTTTCAGATGGGTCATTAACAGCTACAATGCTTGTTCACCACATCAACTGAGACATTTATGATCCATTTTGAGGTACCAGTCTCCGATGAAGGTAATAACAAGTCTCATACCTGGGTCTCAAAGCCCGTACTACCTACAAACCGAGCGCATACTCAATGCATCAAGATGCAAGACGGCGTGTTACTGTTTTCTGTAGCAGCGGGATCGTAAGTAGATAGCATGAACACTGGGTTTAGAAAACCATCATTGGAGCAAAGGAAGCCCAAAATGCCTTTTATTACTCCTCGCCATCACCTGAAGAAACGAAAAATCGACTGGCCTACCCAAGATCAATTCCGCCCCTCACTGCGACCATCGCCGCACCTACTTCGTTCCCTGTCCCAGAAATTACTCCTTCCAACCAGCCTCACTAGCTAACACTTCTTTGTGTCATAATGATTACAAACACCAGGTAGTCGTTCTCTTCTCAACAAGATTCGATTATCTCGCAGGTTGTCTAGTAATTCTCGCCAGGTCCGAGGCAAGGTAGGCACATCAGCCTCTGGGCCTCATCTTGTTCATAAATTTCATTGTAATATCATTCTCATCTGTTCAAGTAACACGGGATTGAGAGTTCAGAGTACATCATAGATAAATTAGGTTGCTAAATATACGATACGACGATTGAGGACTGATTATTTCGCCTTGGGCATAATACTACGCGACGTGGCTCGCATGTGTCTTCTGGTAATTTCTCATTCATTTTCTTCAACATTGTGCCTCACTTTCTCTAGGACTCAACGAACCCCCTTTTCTCACAGTACCCACTTGCTACCTTCTTAGAAATCCCTCAGATATCGCTTAGCCTTTCGAGAAGCCTGATCAACCAAGCACTGCATCCAGCCTGCCTTGCTGCAGAAAGTGGCGTCATGCTAGTGTGATCTGAAAAGTTCACGTTTGCCCCGTGCTTGATCAGATCCACAGCCATGTCTTCTCGCAGGATACATATAGCGCTAATCAACGGCGTGGGCATGCCTCGGCCTCCCATCAGGTCAACATCTGCTCCACTCTCGAGGAACAGCTGGAGAATTTGCCTATCGTGAGTAGTCACGGCAAGGTTCAACGGTGTATCGCCAGTGGTGCTCAGTACATTGAGAGCTGCTCCGTTGTCAATAAGAACTTTGGCAGTAGCATGGTAATCATGATCTCGCTTCTTCGAAAAATGTACAGCCCGTTCGTCATTTACCGCCTCAGCATATAACTTGTTCTCGACGAGAAGTCGAACGATCTCTTCATAGCTGAATGACGAAGCTAATTTGGATCCTATGTCGCCTCGGTGGATGCCGCTGGGGACATTTGGTTCAACTCCATTGAGAAGTCTGTTGATGATTTCGTCGATTTTCTGGAGCCTTGCGTCAGGGCCACCAGGCGTCTCGAGGATGGTGAGCCTACGCGGGCTAGCTAGAGAAATCCCATTCGCGCAGCAAATGCGATGTAGTGCTGTTTCTTGATCTTTATCTACAGCGTTGACATCTGCGCCATTCTCGATAAAAAATTTGGTAATTCTCTCATCGCCTTCTTCAGAAGCTGCGTGTAATGCTGTGCCGCCATCATAGTGTCTGTATTTAATATTTGCACCATTTTCGACGAGAAGCTTGACAATTGCTTCTGGCGGGTCAACCTTGTATCCTGACAATGAAGCTTCGTATAACGGGCTAGAGTAATCTTTGTCGCTACTGCCGTTGGCATTTGCATTGTTCTCGAGGAGAATCCTCACCGTCGCTTCCCGACCATGCGTAATAGCAAGCAAAAGGGGCGTACGCATACGTTTGCCCTCGGAGTCGACATCTGCCCCATTCTCTATCAGAAGCTTTGCAATCGACTCGTGGCCTTTCTCAGCAGCCCGGTGCAGTGGGGTAAGTTCTCCATAGTCAAGTTCATCCACATCATACTCAGCTCGGAGAAGAAGCATTACCATCCCGGGCCGACCATTTTGAGCTGCCCAAGATAATGGTGTTCGCTTCTTGAAGTCTGAAAAGTCTCTTGTGCGCGTCAACCCTTCCATGATGTCCGTTCCATTGTAGATGACGGAGGGTATTCCCAAGAGAGCGGCGACTGATTTGCTATTGCCTTGAGCCAAGGCAGCAAAGAGCGGATAGTTGTACCGGTCCTCAGAACGGCGTCGCCAATCTTCGCCATGTATCATGGGAATGAGCCTTGAGCAGTCCATCCCTGAGCAAACGTAGTATAAGCTTGCTTGATGCGTATATTGTCGGATCTTGTACTTCTCAAAGCGGTTGTAGATGCGAATCCAGTCTTCGAGGGGAAACTGGGACAAAAATTGGCGTTGAGAAATGCCAGCGGCTGCAGCATCGGCATGGAAGAGTATCTCCTGACATGCGTATTCCATGAATGGAAACTCTTTCAGAAATTCCTCCGAGACTAATTTCGAGGCCAAGTAATATCTTATGTACTTGTTGCAGCAGACTTTTAGTTTTTCATGGCTTGAGAGCTCCCAGTCAAAGCCTAGATCAGGACACAGTTCCGCAAGTCCCCCGGCTTTGAGAAGATAGTCTCTGACAGACTCGTGTATGAATTGGACCGTTGGCTGCGTAGATTTGGTGATTTCTGCCAGTCCCTTGGAGAAACCGATTACGCATCTTATGGCGCTGTCTTCATCTTCCGGACTTGTGACGGTTGGAGGATCGGGGTCAACGAGGTCGTTCTGAGATAGACCAGACCAGAGTGCGTGGTAGAATTCCTTGGGTCGTAAAGGTCGCTTGGCGCAAAGGATCCAGATGACGCATAAGAGCAGATGCTCCATGTTCTTGCTATCGCGCGTGAGGATATCTTTGAATAAGGCGCCTAGATTGCTCGGTAACTCCACAAGCCTTTTCTTCAAGGCCAGTCCACCTTGCGAGTATTCGGTATTGAGGATATCAACGACTAAGATCAGCCAGAGGAATACGCCCGCAGCCTTTTCTAGGAGTTGTGGTTGTAGATCCTCGACGAGAGCAGTGTTGTTGAATCGGAGACGACTTTTGACGTAATTTTCCACGTCTTGCATGTGGCCTGGCTGGTTTTCAAGCGTCATAGTATCCCCCCTTTTGATGACTATGTATGGGTAGTGTCGACTGGAAAAGCAGATCCGAAAGGCAATCCCTTCTTCTGAGGCTTCTTCAGCCAAATCCTCGAATTCCCGGACCATATCTGTGACTTGTTGCTCATCGCATTCGTCCAGAGCATCGATGAAGCAAGTAAGTCGGAGTTGGCCAAGTCCAAGGACAGCTTCAGAGAACAAATCTTTGAGAGTATCCAGGCTGGGGAAACCCTCGTTCCCTTGCTGTTTTGAGCACAAATCGCAAAGTACAGATCGCAGTTGAGGATATCCTTGGAAAATCTGGAATAGCAGAGAACGATACATCCCTTCAATTGACCTTTCCAAATATTCGCCTCGAGCGTTGAAGAAGAATGATACAACGAGCGGCGACCAATGGGGATCCTTCTGCATTTTTGACAAGGCGAATTTCATGATTGTCGACTTTCCAGCGCCAGGCTTGCCACGAAGCCAAAGAAACCCATGGTGCAGCTTGAGCTTCTCCTCGTTGAGCCATGCGCAGTAATCTGGGTGCTTGATGAACCATGCGCATGTCTTGTTATGTGCTCTCTTTACAGTTATTCGGCGGGAGTCCATCTGATCAAACTTGAGAGACTCCATTAACTGGGCCTGTTTCTCATGCTGGTCAAGCAATACCTGTGCTGAGAACAGTTGTTAGTGATCAGACGTGATTCCTGAATGGTAGGATACAGATACATACAAGGGCCAGAACGAGAGACAGCTCGTGTCCCAGAATCCGTCAAGGGAAGTTCGGAGAGTAATTCTCTAGCATATGCTGCGGCTACAGCTGCGGCGTACCTTTGCCAAGCCTTATTCTTGTGAGAATCCGCATAGTCGCAGACACCCCGAATGGGTAGGCAAGGAAGAATATCCATGATACCAGCCGCTTCCATTTCAAAACATACAACGTCTAGGGTACGAGCAGCAATGTCTCTTTCGGTGGCGCTCTTCATGACTTGGTTGCCGGACGCTATCGCTCCGTAGTGAATGGCAGGGTCATCATCTGATCGTGCACGTCGAGGCATACATTTCGTTTGATCGCAACCGTCGCATGAGGTTGTTGACTCCAGGTGGTCGTACGTTGAGAGGAAAAGGCGGTCAGGATCTGTCGGACGACCGTAATGCGGAAGTGTTCGGAATTTGTCTTTCAGAATTGAAGAAACTTGGCTCGGTTCTCTGTCGTGCTTTGCCCGCAAAACCGTGATGACTTTCCCAAAAGAGTGGTGAAGAGTTCTAGCAATCGCGGTGCGTTCAATATCGGCACCTGCGACGATCTTCCCCAAGTCGTATTGCATCGTTCTCGTGCCAACAACAATATCTCCCAGCCGTATGTCCCTGGCAATGCTCGGGACACCACCTCCGATTCCTACCATCAATGCTAACCGAGTTAACGGAAAGGTACGGATTAAGTTGGTCACCACGTTCGCTGCATTGTTGGTGCCGTATTGATCCGCTGGTAGACATGTGATGACAACATTGTGCCCCTCGATGCTTCCCAGCGTGTAGGTATTGGTATCAACCGTGTAGGTGCTGCCATAGGAAGCGTAAGAAGGGAGAGCATCGTGCTTCTCGTCGAGCATAGCCTCTGCAGCTACCAGCTCCGTGGGTAACGCGCAGATCCAGGCGATTGTGTAGCGGTGATACTCTGGTGTTGTGTCATCGATAGGACGTCGCGTCTCGCCATCCCAGTTGTCAAGGACAGTTTGTTGCCGTTTGATTGTGCCAGGATAGCCATAGCGGGCGTCATCGGGCGCAGGGCGCTTGCCATCCATCGTGGAATATGGATTAAGACTCCGTCTGTCGCCGAGAAAACCTCTGTCCAGTACGGTTGGGATTTGGCTGTATTACTTAGGTCCGTGGTGAATGATGAGGGAAGCAGACAGAAAAGGCACTGCGATGAGCAGATGAAAGTAGAGAAAGGTCATGGGCGCAAATCAGGCTGCGACGGTCCATTCACGCAGCAGGAGGCATGCTGCCCGCATCTTCCCCAATCCCGTGCCAAATCATTCGTTCAGCCGCACGAGGGGCAAAGCCGGGGCAAGAAGATTAAAGTATGCAAGTGAGCCTGGTTGTTTACTGTTATTGGGTAAGCCAGACTCGCCGCCACAGAACACGATACACCAGCTGTGAAGTTGAAGGGACAGAGAGAAAACGAAACTTCGGTCGGAGAAGGTTTGAAGATTGAGATTGACGATCGAAACTCGAACTCCATCTTGATTCTAACGTCTGACGCAATCGGCAAGCATGTGCTGAAGGATTCGGTCCACAGTGAGAGGATATACCGAGAAGGGAAGGTCATCAGCACGACCAACCAAACAGTTCCCCGCCACCATGCACGAAGAATCCTTTGTTCGAGATGTCGCGAATGGTACTTGAATGCTGACTCCCGCAGCCGTCTGAGGTCGCTGCTGTCAACCTTCCGGACTGCTGTAACGATAGAGACGGATAGTAGACACTGACGGATGCAACTCGATGGAGCATCGGAGCGCATCAATACCACGGCAATCGGCCTGGGAGAATACTCAAAGGGCTGAAGAATACGACGATGATGTGAATCTCACCCTCGAATCAACATCCCACGACCGAGAAGAAGCGTCGCAGTCCCTCCTCACCTCGCATCACACCAAAGCCACACACGAACACCCCCTCCACCGACGTTTCACAACAACATACACCCGCCTCGCCCTCCTCCTCCTTGCCTCTATCCTCCTAGGCGCCGCCCTCTCAGCCCTGGTGACAACCATCCTCACAACCCGCCTCCGCACCCTCACCACCTCTCACAGAAACGACAACACCCTCGCCTCACCCAGCGACCCCTCCTCCCGCCCAGTAACCTACCTCCAGACCGCCCCCTGCGGCTCAACGCCAACCCAAGCCCGCGCCGCAGGCTGCGAGTTCGACCTCATATCCTTCAACTGGCTCCCGCCGCAATGTCACGACGTCGCCCTCGCCGAAACCTTTGAAGCGGAGCTCGTGGAAGCGGGACAACTCGCCTGGTTCACAGACGCGAACCGCACGGCGCCGTCGCTGACGAGAGAGCAGATCATGACGGGGGAGTATAGCGGCGTGTACGTCAGCTTGGGATACCATCTTCGGCATTGTACGGCCATGTGGAGGCGGATGCACCGCGCGCTGATGCAGAGTCGTGGTGGGGAAGGGGAGGGAGGAGGTGGTGGGTTGGAGAGGGTTGATAGTTATATTTGGAGTTATCATCATACTAGGCACTGCGAGGAGGTGCTGTTGACGAGGTTTGGTGAGGTTGATGTGGGAGATGTGTTTACGACGGAGGTGAGGATCAAGTATCCAGATTGCGGAGTCGTCTTGGGACCGATAACTTGAATACCAATGATGTTGATGTTGATACCGATGTCAAGAGTTGTTGAGTTGGGAGAAGAATGCCATAAGAATATTAAACTTCATTTGCCGTCGTCTATCGACATCTTCGCAATCGTCTCCGTCCCCTCACTCGAAATCCAACTCTGCAAACTCGCCTCCTTCTCAACCTTTCTCTCCTGCCTCGTCTTCAACCTCCAACTCTCCCCATCCTTCTTCTCACCACCACCACCACCACCGGGCGGCATCATCTTGGGCTTCGCAAGCAACTTTCTCGAAAACGGTATCCGCCAAATATGCGGCCCAACCTCGGTCCCCGTCACCCGATTCGTCTCAATCACAGTCCTCAACCTTTTGGCCGCCTCCCAATTCGACGTCACCGTCGTCAGCTTCGCCTTCCATCCATACAAGAACGACGAGACGTTCATGGCGTTCAGGCCGGACCCCTTCTTCCCGACGGCCAGCGCGACGGCGGGGAGTTGGCCCTCGGCTACCATTCTCTGCGCATCGTCCCATGAGACAGAGTCCACGATCTGCACGGGGAGGCGGAGGTCCTCAGGGACAGGATGAACGGAAAGTTCCTGCAGCAGCCTCACCCGCCGCGCTCGATCTCGATCACTTCCTTCTGCTTCGGCAGCCTCAGCTCGCTCAAACAATATCCTCGTCCTCGCCTTCTCCTCCTCGGTCCCAATATCCCCCACAATCTTGAGAAACGTATCCGCCGCCTCCCGCGTACACACCAGCGTCCGGCCGGTGATGGCGGGATACAGCGTATTCACCAACCTCGGCCCGTTCTCCACCTCGTCCGTCGCGTCGATCCGGTGCTGCTTCGACCTCAACAGTTCCGACTCGGGGCCGATAGTCATGTGACTGAAATCCGACGCCAACGCCATGAACACCGAACAATCCACATTCACCGTCGCCGTGAAATCCTTGTAATAATCCGCCTCTACAAGATTCGCAATCGCCTCCTCCAACGGTGGTGTTGCCTCCGTCAAAATCCCGGGTCCATTCGCAGTCTCGACAACAAGATCCACGTCCTCGCCGCCCATCTTCCTCACCAACCTCAACAAATGATCCACAGCGTCATTCTCGCCCTCAGACACCCTCGACATGAGTATCCTTACCCTCGGCCTTCGATAATCCTGATACGACGTCCTCGCCGCGGCAACCATGTGCCTCGCGACCTTGGCGACCTCAATACTATCCTCCGTCTCGTCCCCCAGAATCTCCAACATGGCCTCGTCCGCGTCATCGTCCTCGAAATCCTCCTCCCAGTCCCACCCGGCGTCCGCCATCTCGTAAAACAGCCTCCGCTCCGTCGTCGTCACGACTTTCACCCAGTCCGCGCCACCATTCACAACCAAATCAATCACGGCGCTCACACTCTTCCCCCCAACAGTCTTGTAGCTCAACTCCCTCCTCATTCCCGTAAGCTCACAACACCTTTTCGTAACCTCCCACACCGTCTCATAAAACTTGTAATTCGACGCATCGAGCCTCAACCGGATCCGACTATCCAGTGCCTCGGTATCAACTCCTCCCCGATTCTCGCCACCATCACCCCCATCATCATCGTCATACGCAGCCACCATCTTTTCAAGATGCTTCTTCTCGGACACAATAAGACGCTCAAAGAAACCGAGCCCAGGAACAGCCTGGTTCCATGCCACGGGCTTATGTCCCGACGCAGGCCGCCTCTCGATGGCAGCCTTGAGCTGCTCAAGCTCATCGAGAAGGATGGTGATGCGGTAGATAATGAACTGGCATTGCTGGAGCAGTGACGTTTCGGGATCCGGCCCGAATTGCGGAAAGATTGCCATGCGTTCTGCTCGGCGGCGGAGATGTAGGTGGGCAGATTCCCGGTGCTGACGGGCGTAAGTGCAAATCTGATCCTGCGCGGGGTTAGTGATGGTCTGTGAAGGATATGGGTGATAAGTTACCTTGGCGCTCTTGAAAGAGAGTTTTCCTATGCCCACGTGTCAACTCCTCGTGCCTTGCGCAGTCAAAGGGTCAAAATTTGGTGTCGACTGAGATGTACAGAGTATGACAGACGTTGATGAATTTGGCACAGGGCCGGAACCGTGAGCAGAACAGGCAGCTAAACTGTGTGGGTCCGCCGGTGGGGCTCCGACGCGGGGCCGAGAACCGGACTGCGAAGTCGAGGATGGGACGATGAAAAGGAACAGTTCTCACCAAGCATTCTACAATCGACAGGCAAGTTGTTATCCGTATGAGCGGTTGAATGGCGAGCAAGGCTGTGCGCCCAAGTCTTCGCATTGCATTAATCTTCCTCACTGGCGTCCAGCCAAGTCATGTTCATTAAGGCGCATAAGCCGCCATCCAATCCCATTGTCCAATATGCCCTTCATCCTCTGGCTGCATGCAAGGCTAATTTCAGCGCCCATGATCCAATGCATGCCGGCGCTGTCGTCTAATCAATGGCAGAAAAGGTATAATGCCTCGGTCCAATACTTCCCTCCCAAACATAAACAACAGTCTAGAAAACGGTGCCGTCGCTATCGATCAAAATTGGCGGTTCTTTCGTGTTGGGTCTGCTAAACTCTGCCATCTCACGACCTCCCTAAAGGATTGTATTAGCGACATGGTTCTAGAACCTGATAGTTCGGACGAGCTTACCTTCCAACTTCCGGCCTCAAGTATTTGGGCCAGAGTCAATTGATTGCCCTTCAGGTCGTTCTTCATATGTCTGTTGACCTCTACGCAAAGCCTATCCAGGAAGCCGACCGTGACACCACGCCACTCGACTATCACATCGTCGCTAGGCTCGAACATTGGCGCAACCTCAACGGGCTTGACGTTTGTCCTTCTGCAGTACTCGTCGTAGTGCTCAAGGCCTCTCTCGGAATCGTCTGCCTTTAGCGTAAGAACTCCCAAGTCGATGAACAAGCCGCCGTTGCGGTACTCGGGTAAGCCGGTGAGCAATTCCACGCCGGCAAAGTGGATGCGCAGTAGTGACTGCATAGGCTGCATCAGACTGTAGCAGAGCCACTGCGTAAGCTTGTGGAACGGCAAGATAGACTCCCATGCCGCGGTCGAGTTCTGAGCAGATGGCGGAAACGGTGAGAATTGCGACGTCGTCGGACTCTGCGGGGGTTGCGGCATTGATTGGCAAGGCCAGGCATCGCCGAGAGATACGCCGTTGATCGAGGTCCGAGATGCTGGCCAGATGGGCATGAGGCCGTTCATCAGGAGATTCCATAACGTCGGGAGAATCACAATCGGCATCGAAGAAGCTTGAGTCGAGGGGTGCGATAGGAGGTAGTCTGGGGCGGGTCAGTCCAGTCCAGGCATCTTGTCTCCATCGGCCTCGGAGAATTGCTAACTTACCAACCATGTGACCTGGCCGTCCGCTATCGCCAAAGTATTCCTTCTTATCGGTCAGGGCATTTGCGAGCCGTTGAAGCAATTGTGTTCTGCCTTCAATGCCTGCCATTTCGTTGCCTGGTTTCGATTGCAAGCCAGCAGCTACCCTCTCTACTGTCAGGTTGCGCAGTCCCTCCTTGTCAACCTGGAACTTGTTTCTGCTGTCGCTGGAGAAAAGACCCTAGAAGATTGTTAGGGAATGCACGAGTCTACCGAATCGTTGAATATACTTACACTCTTGAACATCTCCAAGCTAGCTACGGCGATGCCTTCTGACCGGCGGTATATGCGTCCATTTTCGGTGCTCTTGTAACTCCATTTTGTGCCTGCGCCAGCGTCCAGCAGCACACTCACGAGGAAAAGGTCAATCATGCGACGACACTTTTCGCTGTTGTCGACATCCTCGGGGAATGTGGAAAGAAGCTGTGCAATGCGGTCACGACCGCCGACGCAGAAGTGTTGGTGTCTTCCGTGGCCAGGAATCGAATTGTACGGTGCGTCGTAGTCTCTCTACAGGGGGTTGCGAGGTCAGTTATACCGCTATTCGCAGACCCAGATAGCGTGGGGGTGGGAGGTGCCAGGGCACGCAAACACCTGCAGAAGCGCTGAGAGGCTGACTCGTACCTTGATGATCTGAGAGACGAATGTCACAACATCTGGGAACTTGCGCATATCCACGTCAAAGTGCTTCAATTCATTACGAATCGCCTTGTCCGTGACAATCTTGCTTCGTTCTCTGACCGCCCCCAAGCTCCGAAGGTATCCCGCCGGGTCAAGTTGCGGGTCAGGAGGACGCGGCAGATCGACCTTGGGTATAGAGGTAGGTGAGAAGGGCGTCAAAGGCGTGCCAGGCGTTGTGCTCGTTCCGGAGGACCTGTTCATTGTGGTGCTACGTGGCGGTGGTGATTTGATGCTGGATGCACCAGAGGCGATGCTGACGTTTGACGTGTTGATTGACGGCTTGCCCGAGGCTTTGGGGGCCTTTTCCTTGCGAGAAAACAGGCCCATTTTGGCTGAATGGGTAGCCGTTGGCTCGAGAGGCTCGTGAGATGGCGGTTGGTGGGGTTTGGCTGGAGGGGTTCAGGCGGTGCTGAACTGAACTGAACTCGGTTCAAGGCGAAGCTTCCGAGTGGCCAGCTGGTTCGATCTTCAGCCAGCTACAAACTGTGCTGTGGCGACACGGGCCTGCTGCGACGATCGCCGTGGCCGGGTGGGGGGCTCGCTTCCGGGTTCGTCAGGCGAGTGGGCAGGCGTGTCGTCCTTGTTCGCTTCGCCAACGATGCTGAGATGGCGAGGGAAAGATCGGAGGTGGACGACGTCGATTTGGAGCAGCAGCGGCGACAGCAGCAGCAGGAACAGCAGTAGGAACAGGGACAGAAGGGAGGGGAGACCGAAAGATGATAAGTCGAGGGTCTGCCACGCAAGTTTAATAGGGGGCGGTTTTCTGGACTTGCGGGGAACAATATCAGCAGTCTGCTTCTGGAGCCGTGAGCAGCTGGTTGCGCACGAAATGTCCAGGCCCTCTCTTGTGCTGGGGGGGGGGGGGGGCTTGTCTTGTCGTGCTTGTCGGGGGGAGGGCTGCTCTGGGCTCAGGGACCGATTCCCTTATTGGTGTTAGAGTTCTGGCCGACGTCGATCTGGATCAGGGATACCCGCTGGAGCTAGACGAAATGCTTTTGGTCTGGTTAGCTGGAAAAATGTCGAGCCACCTTGAGCCATTCCCACTGCGCCAAAGCCGGACACAGACAATGAAAAGACACGCAACCACCGGAAAAAAGGCACATGAAGAAAAAGAATTGGGGCTAATTGGGGTGGCATGGCGAAAGTAGAGAGAGTTATGCAGATAGCAGCAGAGGCGTGCTGATGAGTAAAGGACAACATGTGCCCCGTAAAGTAAACAAGGCAAGGTGCCGCCGCGTCTCTTTGTACACTTTCCATGTGTCTGTCTGTCCGTCTGTCTGTCTTGTAGAGTCCTGTACCCGTACACGCTGGATCTGCCTCGGACTGTTGAAGCTCACCATCGTGGGGCACGCTGGCTCGCAACCTTGTTGTCGGCCACCTGGCACACCCCCGGTGGCCCCTCGCAGCGCTATGCAAGCAATGGTCTGGGGCCTTCGCCAGGAATGCAAAGCATAGACATTGGGTGCGAATTGCGGCTTTGTGGGAGGCGGGGAAAGAGCTGGAAGGAGGGTCTCGAGCACTTACGGATACTTGGATCACTTCTAACGTGCTCTCGTCACTCTTCTCCCAAAAGATGTGGATCGATGAAGCAGCAATTTATGGTGTCTGGCAGGTGGTCTGTCGCAAAGAGTCTCGTCCTGTGTCTCGGTGGTGTAGCTGGCTGCTGTGGGACGGAGAAAAGGAAGCACGCAGGCCGTCGGGACGCGATAATGAGAGAGCAACAGTAGGTGCCGGTAGTGTATTGAGAAGCGAAAGTGAACGGCGAAACAGGATTATTGAAGTTGGATGTCGAAATTCCCGGGGACTGCGAAGCTGGATCTCGGACGGTGGGGTTGGTTTTGCGGAGAGAAATTTGGCAGCGGGAGCGAGGGTGATAAAAAAATATCCGTCCGTCGACCGGATCTGAGCTAGGCCAAGCGGGATCTCAGAGGCGTTCAATGTTTGCGGTAGTGGAAATGAAGATCAATATGCGGCCACTATAGCAGGGTATGCAGGCACGACAGAGTTGCTTGACACCGCGGAGCTTTCAGAAGCTGAGTGAGAAAAAAAAGAAAAAAAAGCAACCTCATGGAACAGCGCAGCCAGCAGCACAACGTCAATGGCCAATCGGGCTCGGGCAAGAGGCGAGCGGTATCAAGCTTGGCCTCTCGGAGGCTAATCGCCGTCGATATCGGGTGAGGTGGTAGCGTACGTGTATGATGTTGAGACAATGCGATAGACAGGCCGAGTGGATGAGGCCAATGCTGCTGCTGTATTTAGATATAATTAGATGACAACGTCTCTGATATAAGGAACTCTGAATAGCTAAAGAGGCTCCGCGCAGGGTGTATTGGGTTGACGACGAAGTAGAAAGGGGATGCCCTGGAAAGATGCCAGAGGACAAGAGGAGGTGCGAGTCAAGAGGGAACGACTGCTCCAGCAAAGTGCGCAGATGTATCTGTACGGATAGAGAGACAAGATGAATGAAGGAAGCTCTGTGGCACGCGGTTTGTCGATTCGAGACGATGCCCGGCGAGGCGAGGCCAGGAACGTGGGGACAGCCGTGGGTGTGTGTGTGTGTGTGTGTGTGTGTGTGTGTGTAAAAGGTGGGCGTGGGTAGAGAGAGCCGCGGCGAAGCAGAACAGACTCAGCAGAGTACAGACACAGATACCTGAGGTACTCAGTAGGCAAGTAGTGTACCTGGGCTTGCGCCGTGCGGATACTTCACCCTACATTACCTTACCTCAAAGCCGGGACAGGATGGGGCAGAAGAAGGAGCAAAATGACAGACGGGGGATCGGATGGGAGAAAGGCAAAGCCGAGGAAGACAAGGAGCAGGATGGGGACGTGGCAATTAGAAGACCGTTATTAGGATGGCAGAGTTTCGGGTGCGGTAATAGGATCAAGAAGACGAGTGAGAGAAAATATCGAAAAAGGGCCACCCTGACTTACGAGTTACGACCTTGCAGATGGATACAAATGCAACTGGATGGATGTTCTTGGGTCGACAGGTCGGGGGTCTGTCTGCAGCTCCGACCGGGAATAGCCCCCCCGGTCTGCGGTCTCTTTGCTTTGCTTGCTTTGTTGTTTTTTCTCCCAACGGGAAAAAGAACTACTTGTCAATGCGCTCTCTCGGCTTGGGATATCTCGCCTCAAGAAGAAAGCCAATGGAGGCAAGTTTTCTGATGGAGTGAAATGGAAGACCTGTGATGATTCTTGGAAATTTCAGATTGAATCATCCTGAGAGAAGGACCGCCTCAAAGAGAAGGAAGGAAGGCAGCAAAGTACGTACCGGGGACCTGCGTCGCACCCGACTCCATCCTTCCCGTTCTTTCCACACCACGTAACGTACCTTCCTACCTACTTACCTACCTTCCTAGCTACCTACCGTGCTACCTTCCTAAGGTACTCCGTACGCCATGAAGCATTCGAAGCACCTTCCTTGGGACCTGAGGACGGCCGAGATACATGAAAAATTACTTAATCAACCTAAGCATGTGAGGAGGTACTCGTCGAGTAACCTTTTGCTTGCATTGAATCCCGTCCTCATTGCCTTGTTTCTTTCTCTTCATCTCCAGTTCAACTCATGACCTTACTTACTACGGACTCTTCTCGTACCTTGGTGAACAAACAATGGTCCCAAGGCTATCAACCCAATACCAAGACAAGTCAAGACTCGTCCCCGACCTTGGGGACGGCACGGGAAGGAAGCCACAAGACTCCAAAGTCTGGCGGGGGGGTGCTGCAGGGAATCCTGGACCAACATACCTTACTGCGCACAATGAGGGACTTTACCGTCTTGTTTCTGCAACTTTGCATCCACGCATATCCACCAATCAATACTCCATACAAAGACTGTACATTTGAAGTTGTTATGTAGTGAAAGTTTGCTGCGGATGCCCAGCGACTCGAGAGGGGTCCATGTCGAAATTTCGAGGTACGAGGCTCATGGCTCAAGGCTCAAGGCTCATGCTGCTCGGACATGGAGAGAGTCTCCACTTGATCACTGTACCTGAGAAGCGGCCACAGTGTGTCTGTTCCGATTCTCCTCAAGCTTTCAGTGCATGGCGCCACTGGATTGGAATTAAGCGAGAAAAGTGTCGTCCAATGTCTGCAGCCCGCTAAACGGCCCCGGCCAAGGTGGGTTCTCGGCTCCACCAACGCGGACTTTGGACAATTGAACACCGGACGGTCTGGCCAACAGGCGGAAGGCTTGCGGTTCCACACCCATCCCGCGAAGTACCTACGGATACACTACACTCGGATGACTTTGGTACCTGCACAAGTATCCACGTACCTACCTTTACTGAGGTGAGTACCCAGGTACGGAGTGCCTACCTTACCTTTTAACGCATCTTCCAAGGTACTCGGTCGAGTAGGTATTTTCTTCCATTTCGATGTTGATTCTCAGACGCAAAAATAGGTGCATACTCCAGGCCCCTTTGACAGTTAAACAAGTCGTTATTTCCGTTGCTCGTCTCTACCGCCAGATTCAACATTGGGGCGCCTTTGGCTTCCACATTGGGACACATGGCATCGACGCCCGAGGGCAGCCACTGGTGACCGCGCTTCTGCGCACACCTTCCATCACCTCACCTCAATAATGGAATGCACAGACCGATTGACCAAGGTCCTCACAGTGTCTTTTTGGTGCCGTCATCTTCCCCAGATCATCACCCAACGGATGCCAATCCATCCATCCATCCATCCATCATCCATGGAGCATCCCATCAACACCACCCACCCGTCCATCGTCATCCTCAATCACCACGCCACCAACAACGACCAACACCACTATCGCTGCGACCTCATTGCTGATCTGGCCCACCTTTGCAAATCACCAACTGATTCAGTTCATCTCTGCACCCAAAGCTTACTCTCCAGGGGACCTCATCTCTTCTGCATGCGCCTCATTAAGCAAGGGACCCCCCTCCGGAATCACTCCCGGCGGGCCATGACAATGTCTTGACTCTTGCTACTGCAGCTTCATCATGCTCCTCGCTGCTCAACCACGCCTCATATCTGCGAGACTGCGACAAGTCATATCAACTATCAACACCGCGGCGCCCCAAAAGAGGGCCACGATCCATGACACTGACTGCAACGCCCCAATGACGGCTGCCGTACCCATACAGTGTGATCGACAGACGTGCTACAACAGAGCCCGGCAACCGATACTTCTCGTCGAGATTTTCTCTCCTTCTTTCTTAACCTATCCATGCTTTCTATGGACAGACTCCAGTTGAGCTTTAATCATGGTACGATCGTTCCATAGGTCCCATATTCAGAACCGGGGGCGCTACGGAAAGCTCCCTAGTCACCAGTGGAACTCAACGACCGACCACCAC